TAGTACATTTATGTAATATTTAAAGGTGTTAACTGTAATCTTACACTGCAAAATAATAACTTAAAAAGGCTTAAATTCATCACAATTATGTAAGTATCTGGAAATTTGCCGTGGGGCGAGGGCCCTTATATATATATATACACTCACCGGCCACTTTATTAGGTACCCCATGCTAGTAACGGGTTGGACCCCTTTTTGCCTTCAGAACTGCCTCAATTCTTCGTGGCATAGATTCAACAAGGTGCTGGAAGCATTCCTCAGGGAGTTTGGTCCATATTGACATGATGGCATCACACAGTTGCCGCAGATTTGTCGGCTGCACATCCATGATGCGAATCTCCCGTTCCACCACATCCCAAAGATGCTCTATTGGGTTGAGATCTGGTGACTGTGGAGGCCATTTTAGTACAGTGAACTCATTGTCATGTTCAAGAAACCAATTTGAAATGATTATAGCTTTGTGACATGGTGGAAGTAGCCATCAGAGGATGGGTACATGGTGGCCATAAAGGGATGGACATGGTCAGAAACAATGCTCAGGTAGGCCGTGGCATTTAAACGATGCCCAATTGGCACTAAGGGGCCTAAAGTGTGCCAGGAAAACATCCCCCACACCATTACACCACCACCACCAGCCTGCACAGTGGTAACAAGGCATGATGGTTCCATGTTCTCATTCTGTTTACGCCAAATTCTGACTCTAACATCTGAATGTCTCAACAGAAATCGAGACTCATCAGACCAGGCAACATTTTTCCAGTCTTCAACTGTTCAATTTTGGTGAGCTCTTGCAAATTGTAGCCTCTTTTTCCTATTTGTAGTGGAGATGAGTGGTACCCGGTGGAGTCTTCTGCTGTTGTAGCCCATCCGCCTCAAGGTTGTGCGTGTTGTGGCTTCACAAATGCTTTGCTGCATACCTCGGTTGTAACGAGTGGTTATTTCAGTCACTGTTGCCCTTCTATCAGCTCGAACCAGTCTGGCCATTCTCCTCTGACCTCTGGCATCAACAAGGCATTTCCGCCCACAGAACTGCCGCTCACTGGATGTTTTTTCTTTTTCGGACCATTCTCTGTAAACCCTAGAGATGGTTGTGCGTGAAAATCCCAGTAGATTAGCAGTTTCTGAAATACTCAGACCAGCCCTTCTGGCACCAACAATCATGCCACGTTCAAAGTCACTCAAATCACCTTTCTTCCCCATACTGATGCTCGGTTTGAACTGCAGGAGATTGTCTTGACCATGTCTACATGCCTAAATGCACTGAGTTGCCGCCATGTGATTGGCTGCTTAGAAATTAAGTGTTAACGAGCAGTTGGACAGGTGTACCTAATAAAGTGGCCGGTGAGTGTATATATATATATATATATATATATATATATAATATATATTAGTAGGGCCCTACTAATATCATTAGTAAGCTAACATTAAATATAACACAATAAACCAAAGTATATCAGTAGGAGTTTCCTTAAGTCTTTCTGATAGTTTTCTACAGGCCGGTTTACTACAACAGTAGAATAAAATTCTGAAATTATGGTTTATAGTTTTGGTGTGCCACCCCAAGATTTTAAGTGGCCCCATCTGGCCACCCCTATGAAAAATTTCTGGAGGCGCCACTGCCGCGCCTCATGCAGCTAGCGCGATTCACACTCCGATTACATGCGCTTCTTTTGCGCTTCTTGAGGCACAGACTCACAGACGCACACTAGCACACACACGCAAGGTCTCTCCGGGTCTCTCGCTCTCTCCCTCTCTCCCGTTGCGCGCGCTACACAGTTTGAACATATATATTCACGTAGCCTTTCGAAAACCGGGACATTCAGTGTCCTGGGAGAGTGCATACATTTCCCGGGAGAGGTTATTAAAAAGAAGGACAATCCCGGTAAAACCGGGACAGGTGGCAACCCTAACTCAAACATGCAATGTAAGCGCTTCCCAATGAGAAAATGACAAGACAAGGGTGAAAATCTCGCTCTATGTAGGCTAAATCGCCCTGAATTAAAATGTAAAAACAGATAAAATAATGTATGTGTCGAAATGTTGCGATATTGTTTCATTTAAGTTCATAATTATTCTATAAATGTTATTTAATTTAGCAGCATTACCACGAAGCACCGTGTTTCGATATTTATTTGAATAATACAAAATAAAATAAAAACTTAATTCACAAATTGCATGCCTTGTAAGGATCCAAAGATCCCTGTAGAATTTAATATTGAGTTGAACATTTTGTTCATGACAACAAATTAACATGCGTTTTTTCAGATTATATTTAGTTTTGCTTGGAAAAAGCTGGCCCAAACCAGTTTTATTTCATCAATTATTGAAATAATGAAATATTTAGTAATAAACTTTTATGACAGAAATATCACTAGGCTACATGTAACTTAAATCATTTAATTCCTTCATTATCAACACTGTCTAGAATAGCGATTTAAGTGTGAATTGCGACTTCTCTTTGTGTTAAGTCAGCCTCAGACTCCGATAGCCTGTGGGGGGTTGGAGGGACAGTTGCCGGACAAAGGTGTTAATGTTCCTCTTTCATATGGAGAGTGTCGGATAGCCAGCCTGATGAGCAGGCAAAATTATTGTAAGGATAAATCTGTGTCCAAATGTAGACCCCATATCTTATTAAATTATAAATATTGTAGTTTATTTATTGTAGCCTATTTAAAGTTTTTTTCACACAAAATTTCAATTGAAGTTATTGTAAGGTGAATTCAACAAGGCATGCTGTGTCTTTGAAGCAACAATTAAAGGTTAAATAATTTTTTCGTGATTTGTATGGCTGACACGCAGCGACATATACAGTATTATCAGCTGTATGATGTGCTTTTACCCTGAAATGTTTAATTTCGAGAGAGACCCGGTGCGCGCAGCGAGGGAGACTAAATAAACTTGTTAAAAAGAGATTCAGCGCGAGAGAGGCAAAGAGAAACGCATGTTTTTAATTTAATTATGTTTCTTTGGACAATTTTCGTTTTGTACTGTTTTAATTGTTTAATTTAGCTGTAATTTCTTTGGCAATACAAATTTAAAATGTCGCAAGAATAAGATTAGCCTAGTGTTTCTTATTTTGCATCGCAAAAGAAATAAACTCTAAACCCGATGCAACCCTGTTTTAAATGAAAAAATGTAAACCTTGAAATGTTCGAACTTGGTTTCAAACTTAAGTAATTTTAGTGTTCTTTTACATTACACAATAATTTAGCAGACTAAAGACGAGCTTCTTCATTTTCATTTTCTGATGCAATCGGCTGACAATCTTCCTTCATCAGTTTTTGTCGTTTGTGCAGCGGCTGCGGTTCTACAGGAATGTAGCAAATTTATGTTGTAATGATAATCAAACAAAACTCTTGACTTTAAATAAGTAAACAGATATAAACAGTTACCTATTTAAGCATCAAGGTGGGAAAATATAAACGCTGTAGGCCAACATCGGTTAACAACATGTATGCTACATTGAGATTCGATCTAGGGTCTGTTGAAGCTCCTCGAAGCTCGTGTTGTTGCGTTGATCACTGAGCTACCGTCTGTACGCTGATAAAGTTGTAAAGCCTCATTCATGTAGCCTAAATGTTTTTTATTGCAATGTTTTATGTTGAAATGTTTTCATTATTTATTCAATTACATTTCAGTAGCCTAATTTCAGTATTGTGATTATGAATTATTTTAACTACGTTTCACTTGTTGAATTCTTCTGCTACCAGCTTTCAATCGCTCTGAATCAGCGCGGTGCGGCAGCAGATTACGCATTAGAGAGAATAAACAGGAATAAACGAACACTTTTCAGAGTCTATGATTGTAGCGCCTCTTAGCGGTAAAAGGCAGCAAATACACCACACATTTTACCGCCGCGGTGGAATGGCTGATGTGGGCATTGTCATGGCTTGCCTCGACATTTGCGTTTGAATAGCGCGCGTCCTCCGTGGGCGTGTCAGATTAATGCGTAATGAAGTGTAATGAGCTGGGAAAAAAAATACTGACAGCACTCTCTTTTCATACAGATTGCATAAACTGAGAATATTTGTTTTTTATATAAATTACTTCATTTAAAAGAAGAGAATTTAAGCTTCATAAAGAAAAACCTCTCGTGCCTGTGTGACAAGTAATCGCGGAGTTACAGTTAATCTTAGGACGCGTTTCAGAATGGACTTCACTGACAGAGAGAACGCAGAACTCGCATCATGTTTGTTTTTCTTTATTTGGTGAAAAGCACAACACTTTGTTTTTATTGTGAGTATCCACAAAAAAAATAGAAACTTAACAGGATCTAATGATGTACAACACTTATATGTAAGATCAAAATCAACCGAGTATTTTGAGTCTCTTTTACACTGATAAGAAAAAAAGCGAGACAATCGCGCCGGCGCGATAGCCGACCCCAGGGGGTTAAGGATGACAGACAAGTACTGCAGATTCAAACAGAATATTTTTTTTGTGTGTAGGGTGCTGATGAGACACAGTGGGGGCATTGGGGACATGTCCAAGTCTGGTGGTCCACTCTCCCTTTCACGACAGAGGAGGCTGTCCCTGTCAGTCCTGTCATGGCTGAGGAGGCCGTCCCAGCCAGTCTTGCCATGGATCCTTCATTACACTCGTATTCCTATCTCTATTTATTTTGCCTGTGTGCTCTGTTTTGTGCCAGATTGCTGTGGATGTTTACCCTGTCTAAGTGGTCATGTTCTTTCGTGTCTGTTCATGCCTGCCGTTTCTGTGTCCTGTGCCCCAGTCCTTCTGCAACCTGCCCTGGACTGTATTAGATCTCCTTCAACCTTTTGCTGCAGAATATGCACCATGCCTAATCAGCTGAACTGGAATCCTTGATCAGTGTTCATTGATGTTCTATATACATACAAAGATTTTCAAATGCAACATTGGTCTTTCTGAAAAAAAATAGGGCACTTTTTGACAATTTGTCAATCGATCAGTATTTAATGATATTCATTGATGTTCTGCATACATAAAAGGATATTCACATTGGCCATTTCATTTTTCAGGTTTGTTGAAGCTAAGACACTTGGTGAGCAAGTTAACCAGATCAGGATCAGAGTCAGTAAGTAAACTCTACACCTTTTTGTAGCCAGATTTGGACACTTGTCATTTAGCATATACATTTAATCCAGTTCAATTTATAGGTTGTGATTCAAGGGGGGGAAAACAATATATATATTTCAATAACATTTCAACAAACAATATATTTCTACTTATAAAGTATTAGTACTTTACAAAACCACATATTAATGCCTTATTCTGCATGACCATACATCCCTTAAAGTCCCCATGAAATCAAAATTGACCATACTGACTTTGTTTGCCTAAATTGATCGTTTTGTGCTGAACAATTCATCCATGCAAGTCAATCCACACAAAAAAAATTTTTGGCTTCGTAATCTTTAATCAAATTTTGAAAATGCCCCTCCCCTCTGCCTTGGAGGACCTTGCCCGATGACGTAGGCTTTAAGGTTTGGGTGTCTGCTTAACATCCGTAACCACGCCCCTCCAACTGACAGTAGACAGGCTGAATGAAAACACCTACTTTTCTAGATCCAATCAGGTGCTAGTTGGGAAAAAAGCCACGCCCACTATTTTGCCTCATTTAGTATTCCGTTTCTCTCGGAAATACGTCACAACACTGGAGAAAAGTCGTTTGCAACTTCCGGTTCACGGGGACTTTAAAGGGTTAGTTCACCCAAAAATGAAAATTACCCCATGATTTACTCACCCTCAATCCATCCTAGGTGTATATGACATTCTTCTTTCAGATCGGAGTTATATTAAAAAAAAAAAGTTCTGGCTCTTCCAAGCTTTATAATGGCTATATCAAGCTTTATTAAATTAATTGCCGGTTTCTGTTAAAAGTCCATAAAAGTGCATCCATCCAGGATAAAAGTGCTCCACACGGCTCCGGGTGGTTAATAAAGGCCTTCTGAAGCGAAGCGATGTGTTTGTGTAAGAAAAATATCCATATTTAAAACTTTATCGACTAAAATAACTAGCTTCCAGCAGACGGCCTACGCAAGTCAACTTACGCCAAAAGAGTAACACTTGACGATGTATGACGTAGGACAGGGCTATTCAACTAGCTTCATTCGAGGGCCGGATTATCAAATCGAAAAGTTGAGGTGGGCCTGAGGTTGGTTTGGGGGTTTAGCTTATTTATTGAAACATAACAGTTTCAATAAATAAGTTAAAGTAAACCTAAAATAGTAAGGTATTTACTTGGAAATGTGGTACCCAACAGTATGCAGATATATAAGACCATAATAAATAAATAACTTGATAATTAACAGCTGTACAACTATTTTCCTTGGAACAAATAAATAAATTATACAAACTCATAGCTATTGGTAAGAAATAAGAATAATTTTATTTATAATTGTTATGCTTAAATGAAAATATTCTGACAGTGAGACTTGATAACAACAGGCTACTCACTCCCACTGTATAAAAAATGCCTAAACAGGTTAAAAACTATACGCACCTTTACAAAGAAACTGACATAATTTCATAACAAAAATTAATTATATATTCCTCTACCCACCTAATAAATCTAATGCAATATAAATGACTATAACATAGTATTCAATATAAATATTCCACATTTCTGCCCAACCCATGGTAAATTACGACCGTACATTCATGGTAAATGTTTGTAAGGGTGGTGATTAGGGGATTTAAAGTCTTCTAATTTCGTTCATGACACAATGTTTCTCCTAATTTCGTTCATGACACAATGTTTCTCCTGCTTTCCTCATCAGTCTTGTTGGGAATGTTTGCTGTTTCATCCGATTTAATACTAGTTAAATCATCGAGTGATTTGTGGTTTGTTACAGAGAGGTGTCTGTCGAATTGAAACGCTTTCCACTGGTTGTCGTAACGCTGTTTAAAGGGATACTTCACCTCTGGAAAGATGAATGTGTATTTAAAATGGCTCATTTATGTAGAAGAAATGTGAAATTATTTTTTAATTTGGAGCTTTCTAGACTGAGAAAAGCCAGAAAATGTATTTTTGGCTTATGTGGATGAAAGACAACAACTCCCAGAATGCACTTGCTTCGCTGCCCTAGGAGGTCACGCCTACCGGTAACAGAGCGCAGTAGTTAAACAACAAGTCTAGGCTACTAGTGAGTCTCCGTGATGAGTCTGCCGGAAAATGTGTTTCGAGATCGCCCAAAATGTCCGGGATTTGGCTTTTGCGTTCTACAGTCGCCATTCATTATGTTTACTGTGGCGAGCAGGACGAGGCTAGGGCCGCGGGAGAACGGCGCGAGGCCGGTGGCGTGATTACCGATGAGCGACACCTGTGAGACGCACCGGTCTCGTATCTCTCACGGAGGAGCGGGAATTTTCTTAGCAATGTTAAAACGCACATCAATCGATCACTTGTTTAGCGTTCATGTAAACACTACATTCAGATTCACCAATCGGAATGAATTCAGTTAGATTGAAACAAAAGGTGTGCATGTAAACAAAGAATGGCGACTGCAGAATGCAAAAGCTGAATCCCGGACATCGACGGCCGGACATGTCCGGGAAAAAGAGGATGGTAACCCCTACTACTCAGCTTTCTCCACAGAACAAGAGCCTGCTAGCTTAGCTTCCAAAAAAAGATGGCTGACACTATGTGTACATTCTGTGAGTGAGATCCCACCCTCTATGGGCGAGTTGAGAATAGGGCTGCAGCTATCGATTCTTTTTGTAATCAATTAATCTAGCACTTAATTGATCGATTAATCGAGTAATCGGATAAAACATTTTTTGTGTTTTTAAACAACCAAAACAAATAATGCATAACGAAAATGATGTGGCTGTAAAATGATCAAGCATTTGGCTTTTATTTATCAAAAAACAAAACAAAAAAAAACTGGTATTTATTCCAACTCCAACATTTGGCTCCAAAACTAAGCCTATTTATTGCAATTTTTACCCATTTAGTATAAGTGCCAACAATGTTCTATAGATGCTCAATTACTTTGGTAGCCGATTAAAATGTCTTCCCCAAAAGTACGAGTGGATTTGGAGAAGCAGGCTGGGGAATTTCAATTTTTGTTGTTGTCTGTAACTATTTGGAAGACGTGTCATACAAACAAGGTCTCGCAAAGACTGCAATACAATATTTGATCCTCCATCACGTCGCGGTGTATACACTGAATGGATGCTGAAATTATTGTTGCGTGCGTGGCTACATAAAAGTTTAAGCATATGTGATGCATTGCCGCAATTGATCTGACTGGCGCGTGAGAGAGACGAGGGTGCGTGTGTGTGAAGGGGTTCTTTTTTTAGGCTATACTCTCTTGCAATTGAACGTGAATACGTTTACTACTTAAAAACATCAAAGCTAAACATCATATCTAGTCAAACCGCATCACGACATCGCTACAAATACAGTATGGGATTAAAATCAGCGAACATCAATGTATCATAGGCTTATGGTGTGTTCACACCGAACGCAAATTTAATTATTTGCGCGAGTAGATTACATACAAAGTCAATGCAAAGACGCGAATAGACGCATCATTTGCACCGGGCGTCGCGACTGACGCGAATTGGGCTACGCGTTTGCCGCGAACGTCTTCCGCGCAAGTTGAAAAATTTGAACTCGAGCGAATGTTCAAGCGTCTAACTAGATGCGATAAACGCGCATTTGACGCTCTATACGCGTTCAGTGTGAACACCATTAGTTTACCTTGTTTCAGCGACGCTTGGTGAAACAGCATGGAGTGGATGTTTTCGGTTCAGATGCTGAATCATTGAACTGTTGTGGTATGCCAGGTCTACTTTGCAGTAGACACATTGCACCTTGTTCTCTTCCTTTTTATGTAATGATCCCAAACTTTAGACATTCTCTGCCGTTTATGGACTCTGCCATCGCGCCAACTAAATTCAAAATGTATCACGCGCTATAGTATAGATCCCTGCGCGTATAGTGCACGTCATAGGAATTTAACGAGGCTTCGAGGCAGAGTTATTGCCTCGAGGAATTTTTGTAATCGAGTTAATCGAGTAACTCGATGAATCGTTTCAGCCCTAGTTGAGAACATGCGGAACAGCCCCTATTACTGACTGTAGTCTTTAGCCTCTGGCCAAAAAATCCTCCGATGATTTTTGCGTCATCGGAGGATTTTTTCCAGACAAAAAATACATAAATCTCTCGTCTCAGGGGGATATGAGGGTGGAAAGCATGGTAATTTGAAAATACTACAGGTTTTCTACTAATACAAAGCTTAATGCTAAATCCTGAAGTATTCCTTTAATAATAGTGTCCGGGACCGGGACCGAGAAACCGCTTCAGATGATTCAGTGACAGAATGAATCCAAATAGTTTTAGACCGTTATGCAAGTGTGTTTAGAAAGAATCGAACCGAAAGAATGAATAATTCACGAATGATTGGTATCGCTGGTTCAGTCGATAGAAATACGGGACACTTATAATAACGTCTCAGGTTACGACTGTAACCATCGTTCCCTGAGAAAGGGAACGAGACGATGCGTCGATGACGCTTTGGAACTAGTCCAATGGAAGGAATGAACGTCACGGGCGGGTGACTTCATGACCAGGAAGAGATAAGAGCGCATCCGGTGCAACCGGCATTAGCTTAGAAAATTGCCGAAGCAAGTCGATCACCGGGATGGAGGAAGTATGGCAGGGCGACGCATCGTCTCGTTCCCTTTCTCAGGGAACTATGGTTACAGTTGGAACCCCTCGCAATGTGTCGATGGCGCTTTGGGAACGAGAATACCCAAATCGCCAAACTTTCAAATGCCTGAGTGTCAGCCTGTTGTCATCACTACACTAAGGACCTGAGACCTTGGGGAAGCGTCCAGGTCCAAGCTATAAAATCTGATGAATGTGAGCGGTGAGGACCAGCCTGCCGCATCACAAACGTCTTGGAGAGAATTCCAGATAATAGAGCTTAGAAGCCATACTCCTAGTGGAATGAGCCCTGACCACCAAATGGTTGGTCAGAGGACTCACAAGCAAGAAGAATAGTCTCGACTATCTATTGCTCAATAGGTTGGATTTTCTCCACAGAGAAGTCCGATGAACATAAG